AAGACCCTTGTAAAGACAGCTACACAGTATAAAGACCCTTGTAAAGACAGGTATACAGTGTGAAGACCCTTGTAAAGACAGGTATACAGTGTGAAGACCCTTGTAAAGACAGCTACACAGTATAAAGACCCTTGTAAAGACAGCTACACAGTATAAAGACCCTTGTAAAGACAGGTATACAGTATAAAGACCCTTGTAAAGACAGGTATACAGTGTGAAGACCCTTGTAAAGACAGGTATACAGTGTGAAGACCCTTGTAAAGACAGGTATACAGTGTAAAGACCCTTGTAAAGACAGCTACACAGTATAAAGACCCTTGTAAAGACAGGTATACAGTGTGAAGACCCTTGTAAAGACAGCTACACAGTATAAAGACCCTTGTAAAGACAGGTATACAGTGTAAAGACCCTTGTAAAGACAGCTACACAGTATAAAGACCCTTGTAAAGACAGCTACACAGTATAAAGACCATTGCAAAGACAGGTGTACAGTGTAGAGACAGGTATACTGTAGTTTTTAAAGTATGTCTGTGTTGGATCACAAGTTTTGTGCTGTTTGCAAGGTAAGTCAGTGAAGATGCTGAAGATGACAGTTCAGTTTTATGTTGAGTGATGTAAAATCCAGAGATGACAATAATTAAAAATGTGCATACATGTAAACAGCTACATGTTTTATGAGATCAAAGCCACTGAAGATGAAGTCAAGATAAATTGCACCAATACAGCTGTAACCAAGAGGTAAACAACGCTGACATAAGATGTATCATCCATTAACCCTTTGAGGGTTTCGGACGTACTAGTACGGCTTACGGCCCAGGGTTTTTGACGTACTAGTACGCCTAAATTCTAGCGCCCTCAAATCTAGTGGGAGAAAGCTGGTAGGCCTTCATATGAAAGAATGGGTCTATGTGGTCAGTGTGCACAGTCTAAAAAAAAATCCTGCAGCACACAGTGCATAATGAGAAAAAAAAAAAACTTTGACCGTTTTTTTGGAATAAAACGGTGACTTTGCACTGTATTTTCGTATGGTATTTATTGTTGTATTCTAGTTTTCTTGGTCTCATTTTATAGAATGGAAGACATATTAGAGAAATTGAGATGATTTTGACTGGTTTTACAATGAAAGGTACCTTGAAATTGAGCTCAAAGTAGCAGAATTGTTCGATTTTTACAAAATTTCAAAAGTAAACAAATCGTGCCAAGCGTCCAATACACGTCAACTGGCGAGTCTAATATTCTTTCACAAGTGCGCCAATAATATTTATACCATTTTTTACACTAATGCAGTAGTCTGCATAACAGTAAATCTTATATTTGTGAGAATAAAAATTCAAAGTGGAAAGCAAAAGAATATAAGAGGGGCCTTGAGACGTGACTAATGACCAGAGGATATGTCATTTTAGTGCCAGGAATGTCTTTCTTGTTTATTCTGGACCCTATTCGGAAATTGGCATCTTTTGAAATTTGTGTGAAATTGGCAAAATTGCTAAATTCTGACCACTGTACTGGATAGTTGAATTTCATAAATGGATGGTTTCTTGCACCCATTCGATAGAAAAAATCGAGTTCTAGCAAAATATTCATGTTTTTTGTCGACTAGTACAGTGGAATTGGCCGAAAATGGGGCTCAAAGTGGGCAAAATCGCTGATGCGTAAACATCGCCGAGACCGCTAACTTCGTGAGAGCATAATTCCGTAAGTTTTCCATCAAATTTCAAACTTTTGGTGTCCTTATGATCGGGAAAAGATTCTCTATCTTTTCATAAGAGAAAATTTTTTTTTTTTTTTTAAATTTGGCCAACCCTGAGAACGAGTTTCGGAGAGGGCCTGTCGACCCTCAAAGGGTTAAAGACTGAAAATGTCCAAAAGAGGTTTTCTCAAGCTATATGATGGAAAAAAATTTCACACCACTTAAAAATATAAAAAAGGAAAATGACTTACAAGAAAGATTTTATAATGGCCAAGCAAGGATTCCAAGGAAAATAAGTCACAATTTGCTACCATTTCTCCATATTCTGCTGGTACAATTCCACAGTCCACACCAACCAACTTCTTGCCTATGTTACCATAAAGTTACCCGTCTGATCAGTCTAGCTAATACTTGGATAAACAGCTGGCTTGAACTGAGACCCCAGGTAGAGACAAGCATTAGATATGATGAAGAGCTACACGGTAAGAGATACTGACTACATTAACAGCAAGACTTAGAATAAACATCTGAGGAAACTAAGAAAATGAATATGCCAGTTATTCTAGCCTCTTGGGTTTAATGACTCATAATAAGGTTGTAAAAATAGTTTAGAATTCTGCTGATTGATGTTACTAGTAGCATTGAGGATTTATATTTCTTCAGATAGCTATAGTTTTTTTTTTTAACACATCAGGAGTCTCCCACTCTCACCATCACTCAATCTGCAAAACAGTGATGGAGTGAGTGATCATGAAAGTGTTTGTTTTTTTGGGTCACCCTGCCTTGATGGGAAATGGCCAATGTGTTAAAAAAAAAACTAGTTTGATTTCCTAAAGTGATCCAGCAAAAACTTGAGTCTTGCAATACATTAGCTTTATCTTCAGTTCCAAATTAGTAATGACTTTATTTTGATGTGAAACAGAGAGTTGGCAGTTGGTGTGGCCTTATTTCCTATTTAGATTCTGGGGTCAAGAAGCCAGGTTTCAAAATATAGAGCAGTACTAGATCTTCCACTCCTAAGTTACTGCATCACTCACAAGACATCTGAATAGAATATACAAGTCTAAATTAGAAGCAATGGAAGATGATGTCTCTATTAGCAAGTGTGAGAGATTATGAATGCTTTGTGAGGAAGAATACATCAGGAATAGAAGAATAAGTCAGAATACTGCCACTAACAATTCACAACTGACCAATAATTTGGAGAGGAAACTTCAGAGGTTTTGGTCTACCCTGGACTAATATCATGTCATTATTTGGCTAAAGTGAGTTGTGAGTTGGTTGTGAATTACACCAGGAAAGGACTACACAAACTAACAAGAGCTACACAGTAATACTTGCTAACTCTTGATCTTCATGATTTACTAAGTTTGTTCTGATATCATATTTACACATCCAAACTGTACACAAATAACCTGCACATAGGAAAGAGCAGCTTATGATGATGTTTTTGTCCAACTTGGAACATTTACAAGTCACACTGACACATGATGATGAGGTAGTGTGACCTGTAAATGGTCACAAGTAATGTCACCAAAAGCGGGTTATTTGCGTATTTCCAGTCTCAGTTCTGTGCCTTTTTGTTCTCTACATCTGAATGGTGATGTTAGCATGCTTCTGGCAAAACAACAATTGAATGAATGACACTGGATATTCATTTTTTTAACACACCAGCCATCTCCCACCAGGGCTGGGCGAACCAAAAAAGAAACAAAAGTAACTCTTTTTACATTTAGTGATTTATACAGAAGGGGTTACTAGCCCCTTGCTCCTGGACACTGGATGTGTTTCCTATTTTTTGGGGGCTACCCTACCTTGGTGGGGAAAATTAGACAAATGCAGTATAATACAATCTTTTATTGACTATGTTTAGCTCACACAGTGGGCTATATTAAGTCAAAAACCTGTGACTTGATAAAGCCCATTGTGTGGGCAAACCGTAGTCAACAAAGGATAGCATTATAGCACTGTATTTGTATCGATTTATCCATAGTGTCGGTATTTTATACCATTTATTTCTAACTTGGTGGCTGATGCCCAGATTATACTTCTAGCAGAATTAATGATCAAATTAGCAGGAAGACTGATAAGTACCAGGACAAATAACTAAACATTAAGCAAGATTTACTTCCAATACTGCAGAGAACAGAAATTAGATGACAATGTGATGGTATGCAGAGTGGAGATGCAGCAGAAAAGGGTGACCCAAAAAGATGTATCAATACAGGGAGGATGGGGTAGTCATGCTTATAAGTGCTCCCCATATACTCCAATTTGTTTACTTTGGACTTTGTTTCAGGTGACTTGGATGAGGCTGGTGATTTAGTAGTCATTGATGGAACAGTTGTCATTCTGACAAAATGGATTAGGCCTCCTGGGGATACCAAACAAGTTACCATAAATGGTACACCACCACAATTACACCAGGAGAGTACATTTTTTAATACACCAGCTGTCTCCCACTGAGGTAGAATGACCCAAAAGGAAAAAATGCATTCACCATCATTCAGTCAATCATTGCCTTGCGAGAAACATGTTGACATCACAATTCAGAGGGCCCTCTGAGCTGTAACATCCCTACCCGTCCTTTAGAGTGTGAGCATTGTACTTCCCACCAACAGACTACATGGAAAAATAAAATGGTCTAAATTTCAGTGCAAAGCACAGTAGATAACTTCTCAAGATCAAGAGAGACAAGTGTGCTCATCTCTATATACAGAAATGACCATAACTGATGCCAGTTCTGTTATACTGTCAGAAATATATATCACAGCTCTCCATTTTCTCAAGCCCTTTAAACATAATAGGCCAACAACATTCAGGCAAAATGACTGAAGGAAGAGGTAGAATAATTATAGCAAAAATGTCTAAATATAAAAAGTTGTGGAAGAATGGAATAAATTAAAAAAGGTAATGTAAAATTCATTGGAAATTACAAAGGTTGTGTAACATTCATGGGAAATTAAAAAAGGTTGTGCAACATTCATGGGAAATTAAAAAAGGTTGTGTAACATTCATGGGAAATTAAAAAAGATTGTGTAACATTCATGGGAAATTAAAAAAGGTTGTGTAACATTCATGGGAAATTAAAAAAGGTTGTGTAACATTCATGGGAAATTAAAAAAGGTAGTGCAACATTCACTGTAAATTAAAAAAGGTAATATAATATTCACTGGAAATTAAAAAAAAATTTATGAAGAACAAATTAAAGGCAGGACACCATGAGTACTGCTCTGCTCCTTTAGCTACAAATAGATAATTTACTCGTGACTTGATAATATAATGATTCATGACTTGACAATGTAATTACCTGACTTAATAACTGTCCAGGATGGTCCAAAATATGTCCTAGGTTCACCTCCAATTTCTGGGCAAGCTGTGAAAAATATTCAACTGTCGAGGCCTGGCCTCAGACCGAGCTGCAGGGGGCAATGACCCCCAAAACCATCTCCAGCTATACAGGTCATCAATTTCATTTATGGAGAAGTGCTAAACTTGTAAGGGTGAAACAGTACCTGGGAAATGGGAGACAATCAGGAGTGATCCAAATTAGGGGTGGGGGGACTCAAGTCCATAAATCTTGAGTGATAATTAAAATATCTCATCTGATTATAATCTTAACTTGCATCAGTCAATTTAGTATAGTAGCACTATAAAGTTCTGTGACTGAGAAGAGTTAACTATAGCATTTATTAGGTGGGAAAGAAAAGCAAATCTTATAATTAGCGTGAGGTATGGTCACAGACCAGGCCATGGGGGCACTAACCCCTGGAACACCCTCCAGATATACTTCAATTGCTGGATTTTTTTTTTTTTTTGCAAACTTTCAAAATTCTATTATATAAAAACATGATTTTTTACACACACATATTTATTAATGACACTGAATCTTATAGCTGCTGGCTGGAATGTGTCATGAACACTGAGCAATGAAAGCCGACAAACCTGAAACACAGGTGAGAGAGATGTCGAACGTATTTCAGCTTCATGTCAGGAACCTCTCTCCTGAATAGGGGTCTCAGACTGAAATATGCTGACTTCATTTACCATTGTTTATTTTTCGATCCTGGCAGTTTCTCACCTGTTATAGTTTCTTATAATAGATGTAGATTTTACAATGAGAAAATGGAATGCTATAACCTCTTATAACACAGGTGGATCTTGCAATGATAAATTTAAATTGTGAGAACTTGATTACATAGTAAAATTAAAATTTAGTTCTGGGAGGAAAAAATGTACATATCTTAAGTACGCACTGTAAAAATCATATACAAATTTACAGCCTTAAAATAATTTTTAAAACATCACAGGTATAAATTACATCAGACTACTTATTAACTATATGGAAAAACTACTTATCATATAATTACTAATAACAAAAGTACCTGCTTATAAATACTAATAAACAAAAAACTACCTATTATAAATACTAGTAACAAAAAACTACCTGCTTATAAATACTAGTAAACAAAAAATTACCTATTATAAATACTAGTAATAGAAAACTACCTGCTTATAAATACTAGTAACAAAAAACAGACAGGAAAAAGTTAATTACAAGATTTGGCAAAAGCCCCAAGCTCAACCTAGCAATAAAAAGTTGGTGTAATTACCGTGTTTACACAAAATCCTAGTGTGAGCATGACACACAGGATGGTCAGGTTCCTATAGTAATGTGGCACTACCTCTGGAAAGAGAGATAGTGTGGATGATGGTGAAAGTGTTTCTTTTTCAGGTCACCCTACCTCGGTGGGAGACGGCCAACGTGTTAAAAAAAAAAAAAAAAAAAAAAAGTTTATTGTATTTTATCGAAATGCCATAAACTGCATATTGTGTCTTATTAACATACTACTGTCAGTACATTCTATCCATGATATACATATTGTAATGGTTACGAAGGCCTGTGGGCTTTAGAAGCAACACACTAGTAGACCAGACACTCAAGGAGGTCTGGCCTCAGGCCGAGTTGCTAAAATAGAAGAGCCCTCAAAACTAATTACAGATATTCAGGAGCAGATAAGCATATCCTCACTATTAACTGAATCATAAGCACAGGCTTAATAGTCTCACCTGATCACACACATTACTACCCTATCAAACAAAAATTGTGTAGTTGAAGTATGGCATAGTTGACAAGTGGTAAAACTACACACACACAAGAAGACTTGTTAGGCTGATGTTTCACCCAGCTGAGGTTTTATCAGTGCAGGCATACCTTGCTAGTACAGCAAACATCTGGTTAGCAATACAGTACTGTAACATTTTATTTATTTTTACATTTGCATTTTTTTTTTTAGACCTAGTGTTATTGTGCACTAATAAATGATATTGTAAACTTGTTTTTATATACACTGGCAAGTGGAAAAAAAGGTCGTTATTCGCTTTACAGCAGTGGTCTGGAACTTAACCTGCTGTATTATAATGTAGGTAAAACTTTCATTTTTATTTTTGAGTCATCCTGCCTCAGTGGCATACGACTGGTGTGTTGAAAATAATGCCTGTATACAAAGAATATCACAACTAGCACTATACAGCCTCTCCTCCCTTAGCGACGTACTCGTTTAACGACGTGGTCTTAGGAACAGAACTCCATCGTTAAGTGAGGAGAGGCTGTACTATATAGTTTGCTAGTTGTTATATTCTTTGTAATTGATAAAGACTAATGTTGAAGAAACATTTTACTAAAAAAAAAGTCTCCTTTTGCTGTGTCTTTTACCTCGATGATTTGTTTAATATACACTTTTTGATGTCATCAGACCACTGATAATGAAACATGTATAAATGAACAACTGATCATACATAAATATCTATAACACTCTGGAATAAAAATAAAAGGATCTTTGTTTCTACAGATTATTTCGTTCTCCTAACAGCTCCATATTAACAATATTTTGAGTTTCACCCATAAAGGGTTTTCTTCATACATAATTTTAGTTTTTTCTTCATACATGATTTATGTGGACCTTCTTACTAGTCAATCATTGCAACAAAATAGTACACAAAATCCTAGCTTTATAACTTGATATTCAGTTGACTGACTGCTCCACAGGAGAGCACTCATATGTAATGAACCTTGGGTTCCCTTTTAACTACCATTGTATCAACAACTTGTAACATCTTTTGGTTATACAAATCAGAACCTCTGATTATCTTACAAAAAAAAAGGGTACTAAAAATATAGGTTTACATGTACCTATCATTAAAGAATGTATGTAAAATCAACGTGTCACTTGCACCTTCCATACTTTGCTACTTTCCCATTAACCAATACAAAAGGATACAAATATCTAGCTAATATTAATGCCAAACATCTGTTAATATTGACCAGTAAAATACCAATATTGCCACCAAGAATTCTGGAGGACACTCAACATTCCTGCACCAAGAGTTGAGGGCACAACATTCTTTCACTAAGTGCTGAGGACACTCGACATTGCACTAAGGGTTAAGGACACTCCACAGTCCTTCATTAAGGGTTGAGGACACTCAGAATTCCCACACCAAGGGCTGAGGACCTCCACACAAGACTAGATGCATTTAGCAAAAAATCCCCAGTGTGTTTGTAGTGTTTTGATAAAAAAAAAAAAGCGTAACAGTGTGGATCCTTCAAAAATGACTTATCACACACTATCATCTGATTTAGGATTTAATATATAAAGTAATGGGATTAAGAACTTTCAGAGACTAATCTCAAATAGTTTACAAGTATTTTGGTAAAGTTTTACCTAAGGCCAGACCGCACAACTTTCACACCAGAGTAACAATGTACAATGCAAGTATTTGTTCAATATACAATTACTGACTGCATACTTCCTTATACTCACACAAGTGCACCCCCTCTTGAACTAAAGTACTCAAGCACAGCCACATAACACACACACACACACACACACACACACACACACACACACACACACACACACACACACACACACACACACACACACAATGCACACACACAATGCACACACACAATGCACACACACAATGCACACACACAATGCACACACACAATGCACACACACGCACGCACGCACGCACGCACGCACGCACGCACACACACACACACACACACGCACATACAAACTACACACACAAGCATACTCACTCAAGTTACACACACAAAGCACTCCTATGACAAACTTCTAATTTACTTAAGAGATTCTATAACAGGTTATCATGGTGGGAATGATTTTTTTTTGTTTTAATGGGATGAGGTATCTAGTGATAATAAATAGATATATACATACATTAATACATTGTCTTGATGATGATAAATAATAATAGCAGCAGGAGAGAAGGTTCAACATGCTTTGAACTGAATGAACTCATCACTTACAAGGCTACGTACATACCTCTACATATTAAGTTGGTATGAGGCACAAGAGATATTGGGGAAGGGGGAAAGGGATGAACAGGGTGGGAAAAGGGAAAAGAAAAATAGTAGGAATGTATAGAATCCACTGAAACATTATGGAAACTGATATACTGAAAGGTGGGGAACAAGTAGAGTTAGGAAAGTTGACCTTGATCATTTCACGTGTTTGTGTTAAAAGTGAAATAGTTCATAATAGGTTGACACCATGCAGTAAGTATACTTGCCTTCAGCTGCACACACTGGCAAGATCAATAACATGAGTGATCCCATGCTGTGCCACTGATGATAATATCTACTACAGCCAGTGTGTGAAGCAATTGCATGCTCCACCTAATAACTTTTATTATACCTTATCCTTACATATTTCAAGATTAAATAGTGCAATAAGCACATTGCTGTATGTTGAAAATTTTCTTCATGCTGAGCTGTACTTATTCACATTTAAGTAGATCATTTAAGTATTATTTTAGCAGTGACATATGACACTGGTAATATAAACAGTACTTCTCAACAATGGATTTTGATCATACAGGAAAATTGGACTGGAGAAACTACTCAGAAATACCAACACTGTCCATTTTAATAGTCTGTATCTATTGGAAAATAACAATCAATATAGACATCTTCAATTTTCTTAACTCTTTCAGGAAAAGAAAGGCACCAACCAACATTGAAGACAGGTGTAGAGAAATGGCACACACAGACATGCCTTTGTTGTAAGCAATGTTCTGCTGAGAATGTTCATTATAAGGTTTCATCAAAACACAATCTTGTATAACTTTTTTGCAATTATTAGCTGCCATAGCTAATGAACTGATTGGGGAAATGCTTGAAAATATTCTCATCCTCTTGCTGAAGTCTTTCAACCTGTGTGATGTAATATGACTGGGGAAACATATCTAAATATCAAATCTTTTCCCCACAATTTAACTATCATATTAGAGTAGGATAACAGCATACTATCAAAGTACCCAGTTTTTTTGTTAAACAAAAATGTGGGTTAGATTAGGTAAAGTTATCAGGAAACAAGACAAGTGTTTCCTAACATGGGTTTTAGTCAGATGATGACCTGCCGTTGGAGCTTTTGGTCATCTGACCAAGGCCTTCCACTGGCTTACTGGTCCACTCCTTTAAAAATTATGGTCATAGTTATGTGGGAAAGGATTAGGATGAGGGAAGGCCAGATGAAAAGGCAGGGTGAAAGGTCACATTGGTCTTTGTCAGGTTAGTAGCCTGACCTTCCCAATAGAACACAGTAACTGCTTTGCAAGTAATACAAGCCTCTAGACATTATCTTTCATATCTATCTTCTTCCTTACTGGTAACCTTTACACTGTTTCAAACCATGATATACACACATTTACTTATGTAAATCAGTGTTATATGCATACCAAACATATTTATGTTTGCTGATCTTTGTGTTTATGTGATGTTTCTCTCACATTTTAGATGCCCTTTCCACTATTCCTGCTGCTTATGGTGGCTGCACAAGGGTAGACAAACATAGTTATGTAGATAAATGGTTCAGAGTATTAATAAATTAGACATTTGTGTAATACTTGGGTATCTTTATTGTGGAAATGCTTCTCCAGTCAGTGGCTTCATCAGGGCTGAAGAAGCCACTGGTTAGCTAAAAGTTTCCAATATAAAGAAATCCAAGTGCTGCACAAGTGTCTATGTATCATAGATAGATTTTCACAGGATATCAGCAGGATTGCAGATGAGAAAGGAGGCTTTAGAATGGGTAGAGGATGTGTAGATCAAGTGTTTACATTGAAGCATATATGTGAACAATATTTAGATAAAGGTAGGAGTTTTTATTGCAGTTATGGATTCAGAAAAGGCATATGATAGAGTGGACAGGGGAGCAATGTGGCAGAAGTTGCAAGTGTACAGAATAGGTAGTAAGTTACTAAATGCAGTAACGAGTTTTTATGAGGACAGTGAGGGAAAGGGGAGGGTGTGTAAGAGGGAGGGAGCCTACTTCCCAGTAAAAGTAGGTCTTAGACAGGGATGTGTAATGCTACCATGGTTGTTTAACGTATTTATAGATGGGTTGTAAAAGAAGGAAATGCTAGGGTGTTGGGGAGGGATTAAATTATCAGGAATCAAATACAAAATGAGAGTTGACAAAGTTACTTTTTGCTGATAATACTGCACTTTTGGGAGATTCAAAAGAAAACTTGCAAAGGTTAGTGGACAAGTTTGGGAGGGTGTGTAAAGTTAGAAAGTTGAAAGTGAACATAGATAAGAGTATCAAATGATTTAGATAAAGAAAAATTGGATATCACATTGGAGGGAGGGTGTACGGAAGTGAATGCTTTTAGATATTTGGGAGTTAACTTGTCAGCGGATGGGTTTATGAAGAATGAGGTTAACCATAGAGTTGATGAAGGAAAAAAGGAGAGTGGTTCGTTGAGGTATCTGTGGAGACAAAAAACGTTATCCATAGAGGCAAAGAAGGGAATGTACAAGAGGATAATGGTACCAACACACTTATATGGGTGCAAAGCATGGGCTGTAAATGCTGCAGGGAGGAGGCGGTTGGAGGCAGTGGAGCTGTCATGTCTAAGGGCAATATGTGGTATACCTGGAGAGAGTTCCGGGGGTCAACGCCACCGCGCCTCGGCCTGTGACCAGGCCTCATGGTGGATCAGGGCCTGATCAACTAGGCTGTTACTGCTGGCTGGACGTAACAGAACGTACGAACCACAACCCAGCTGGTCAGGTACTGACTTTAGATGCCTGTCCAGTGTCTGCTTGAAGACAGCCAGGGGTCTATTGGTAATCCCCCTGATGTGTGCTGGGAGGCAGTTGAACCGTCTTGGGCCCCAGACACTTATTGTGTTGTCCCTTACTGTGCTAGTAGCACCCCTGCTTTTCATTGAGGGTATGTTGCACTGTTTGCCGAGTCTTTCACTTTTGTGGTGTCAATATTATGCAGAGAATTCGTAGTGTGGAAATTAGGAAGAGGTGTGGAGTTACTACAAGTATTAGTCAGAGGGCTGATGAGGGGCTGTTAAGGTAGTTTGGTCATTTAGAGAGAATGGAACAAAGTAGAATGACTTGGAGAGCATATAAATCTGTAGGGGGGAGGAAGGCAGGGAAGGAAGGCGGGGTAGGGGTCGTCCCCGAAAAGGTTGAAGGGAGGGGGTAAAGGAGGTTTTGTGGGCAAGGGGATTGGACTTCCTGCAAGCGTACGTGAGCATGTTAGAAAGGAGCGAATGGAGATGGATGGTTTTTGGCACCTGACGAGCTGTTGGAGTGTGAGCAGGGTAATATTTTGTGAAGGGATTCAGGGAAACTGGTTAGCTGGACTTGAGCCCTGGAAATCGGAAGTACAATGCCTGCACTTCAAAGGAGCAGTTTGGGATATTGGCAGTTTGGAGAGACATCTAAATTGTCGTATCTGAGCGCCTCTGCAAAGACAGCGATTATATATTAGTGATGATGAAGGTATTGAATGATGATTAAAGTTTTTCTTTCTTTCTCTTTGGGTCACCCTGCCTAGGTGGGTAATGACTGATGCGTTAAAAAAATAAAAAAAGATATCCACGCTGCACATGTAACACTAAGAACGCTAATATAATTTACCATAATGTACTATCCACATCCTGGTTTGAATGTGAAACACATGGCAGCAGACCGAACTATTTTATTAGCTTTATTTTCGCTATAAAAAAAAAGGGTCACTCTGCTATTGGGCAGTGTTTCATATTCCTAGTTTCTTAACTGCTTGAATATGAAAATGGCATACAAAACCGATAGGTTGATAAGTAAAACACATGTGCAACAGTTGACTTCTTAACTGCTTGTTTTCACTAAATCATGGTTTGAAACAGTGCCAAGTGAATCTTTAAGGAGGCAAATAATAATTTGGGATTTTGCTAGTCTTGATTGCAATTTTTTTCAAGAAACTAACAGGCACTTGTACACCAAGCCATAAATGCAGCAATAATAATGAAGAAATACTAAAGTTCATATTCAAGAGTGAGAGTGTGATCATCAGGATCATATGATCTAGAAAAGAGATGTGCTTTCAAATGAGACTTGAAAGCATGAACAGATTCCCTACTCTTACCACCCTGTCAACCTGTTAAACAATCTTGAATTGTTATAAATATAATCATAACCAAGAACTAAACCCATAAGGGTCAAACAATCTAGAAGCAACATAAGAAAAGGCCCCTTCTGCAAACGAGTTCTCCCCAACAGCAAAAGGCTCAAGTAGTGTAAAAAGGTCTACAACAATTTGTAGAAACATTTCCAAGCCTGCTTTAAAAGATACAAGCCTATCAGAAAGATAACTAAGTTTATTAAACAATAGCTTTAAATACTAATAAAGTTTAAATTTAATTCTTGCTTCAATAGGGAGTACTGGCTCCATATCAAGGCAAGCAGGGACTGGATAAGAACAAAACTACCAGTCTAGCTTAACTTTGCTTTTAGTTAGGTAAACCCACAAACAACTGCAACAACCAATTCAATAGGAAACAAATACATGGACAAGGATCAAGATACTCAGACTTCATAAAGATTATGAACATTTTCTGAGGAAGTTGCCATCCTGAGTTTAGACAACATAGAACAAAACCAATTATTATTATAATCAAACTGCTCCTGCAAAAACCAAAGGGCACAAGACACATTCAATTCTCAGGACATTTAATTAGAGGTTTCACCCATTGGGACTTTCAATCACATTATTATTATAATCAAAAAGAAGTGCTAAGCCACAAGGGCTATCACAGTGAGCAAAAAACCCTCCTAATTAGACATCTTAAGTTATATTTGTCTTTCTTCAACAGTTTCTCAGCACTATTATGCTTGTAACATGTACTTCATTTTTAAGCTAAAATACGTAAATTATCCCACGTTTAATTGAAACTGCTGCCACAATTGCATTTTTGGGAAAAGTTAAGCTAAATCATATTTTATTTCAAGAAGTAAACCTTACCTTTTCTCAAGTAATTTACATGTATATTTTAACTAAAAATGAAGGAAGGTCAGAAAATGCTCCAAACCACACTGAATCATCGAAATATGAAATAAAACACTACTGGACAGATCAGAGCTGCTTACTAACAAAGTAACCAGAGCAACTCTTCGTCTTTCTTAACCATCCCTCCTGGCATTTCCTCTTTCCCTAATACCCTACTGCAATAGTTGTATACACTTGTGTTTTGATGCATTTTTACATGACTTAATAAAGGGACATTCTCAATAAAGAGGTTTACAAGAAAGGCAAGTTTTAGTGAGGGATTTCTCTTCATACATTTGTCAGCAGGCCTTGCCCTGTGCAGAGACTGGTGTGTTGGCAAGATTGCATCTTGATGTGATAAGTCACAAAGTGGTTGTCACTGACCTACTCTTTACACAGGTAATGCATGAAGAACACATCTTATTGCTGCACTCCCCATGTGGTGTGACCATGATTATTATACCCAGGATGCTGCACTATGTGGTGTGGCCATGTTTATTGCACCCAGGATGCTGTACTATATGGTGTGGCCATGAGTACTGCACCCAGGATGCTGCACTATGAGGTGTGGCCATGCTTATTACAACCAGGATGCTGCACTATGTGGTGTGGCCATGATTATTGCACCCAGGATGCAGGCACCCACAGAGGTTCTGTCTCCACTTTATTTACAGCAGCTACCAAACGTTCAAAGGCAGATGACAACTCATCATTAACAATAACTTCATCGAACCAGTGTGAATAATGGAACTCGATTCTGGCAGCTGCTTTCAGCATGTCTTTAAATTCATCTTCCTAAAAGAAAAAAAAAAAAAAAAGAGAGAGAGAAAAAAAAAATAATTTTAAAATATAAAATGGCAACATTTCACTTGCAAATTGTAATCATTTAGTAATAATTTTCAATTTTACAAAACTTTACTTTCAAAGTACAAAGTACATTTTTTATTCTTCAAATCATTATAATAAAAAGGATCTCTTGCTGTACATAGCCGTAGCAAACAAGTTAGGTATTAAGACAGATAAAGGGTAAACAGGTTAACAAGGGAGGTGTTAGGAAGGGGCTATGAGAATAAAAATAAGAATGATATTTTACAACAGACTTATGCAAGAAAGGTAAAGCATATCTTTAATATATTAGAGCTGTACCTGAATAGTATATATTAGGTGATTGCCATGCTATAGTGTCTCAATATATTTAATAATACTTTGAAAATGTTGAAATTGCCACTGTTTTGGGTGAATGCTTAATAATTATTGAATCTAAGGGCATTGGTAACTAAAAATAGGTTGGACAAATATGTGAAAAAAGTTGGATGGATCTGAGAAAGACATACTCAGCATGGGCCAGTAGGCCTGCTGCAATTCTCATCTGTGTTTATGTCTCGTGAAAAAAAAAATTCTTACCTGTGAGTGACAAAAAACTACATGACTAAAAATATTTTCTACAGTTTAAGTGTGTTGGCCAATTCAACAAAACCACGGGATGATAAAAGAAACTGAATAATAGATGATTTACTGTATTATAAAGCAAATACAGGAGGGCCTCGCTTATACAGCATCTTCTCTGTGTTCAAACTGAGCCATTGTTCATTATGTTCCACCTAAAGGTGGAACAATCGCTTAACTGAAAGCCAATGATAACGTGCAACATGGAAAACAGGCATTGTACATGTGGGTCCCTCCTGTACATGATAAAATTACTTACAGTAAAGCCTCTGGAATTATTCTCATCAAAGGTTGAGCGAGCATGAGCTGCCTGTCTGGTTTCCTTGAGCACGGCCAGTGTGGGAGGCTTGATGTATATCACGTACGGTTTGAACTCTGCAGTTCTCAGGTACTTAAGGGCCTGCACAAGAGAGGAAAACCATCACAAATTAGTCACAATAAAATAGAAAAATCTTTCTTTCCCACTTCCCCTTAGATATGAAGGGAAATAAAAAAAAGAACAAAAACTATTAAGAATAGAAAAACCAGAGGGGTGTGTATACATTTATGTGTACATGCATTTGTAGTGTGACCTAAGCACAAGTAAAAGTAGCAAGATGTACCTGTTATCTTGCAGGTTTATGAGACAGATACTAGCAATCCTACCACTGAGTAAAACAATTACAGTTATGAAGCTCTACACAGTTATTATAATGAGCTATGAGCATATAATAATGACAGTGCATATATCTCACCTGATAGTGTGGTGTAACCAGCACTACATAGCCAGCATTAATAAGAGATTTGAGGGTGACAGATGAGGTGCCATATAAGTGACCCTTGAACTCTCCATGTTCAACTAGTGTACCAGCACTAGCCTCTTCCTCCAGTTCCTCTCGGGTCACAAACTGGTAGTCTCGGTTATTTACCTCGCCTGGTCGTGCTGGTCGAGATGTCACTGAAGAATTATAATGGTTAAGATCATGGGGGATAAAAAAAAAATAACTAAATTCATTTTGTGATTACAGTTTACATTATTAAATCAACTGCATGTGGATAAAGGCACTTATACATAGTTCAGGGTATTAATTAAGGACTGAAGAGCCGCTAGTAATTATTGTTTCCTTTAATAAATGTGCTGAACTGCATACGCCTTTATCTACAACTTGTCAGTATTTTTTTTTTTAATACACAGCCCGTCTCACACCGAGGCAGGTTGATCCAAAAGAAAGAAACAGTTTCACTATCATTCACATATCACTGTCTTTGAAGATGTGTCCAGATATGACAGTTCAGATGTCACTCCAAATAGCCAATATCCCAAACCCATCATTTAAAGTGTAGGCATTGTACTTCCCACCTTCAGGACTCAAGTCTAGCTAACCAGTTTTCCTGAATCCCTTCACAAGATGTTATACTGCTCACACTAAAACAGCTTGTCAAGTCCCAAAAACTATTCATCTCCATTTACTTCTATCTAACATGCTCACACATGTCTGCTGTATGTCCAAGCCCTTTGCACACAAACCTCTTTTACCTCTATCCTTTTCTAGGATGACCCCCTATCCCTCCACTACAGATTTATACACCCTCCAAGTCAGTATTATCATACACAAATAACCCGTACATAGAAGAGAGGAACTTACGACAACATTTCGGTCCGACTTGGGCCACTTACAAAGTCACACTAACAAGAAGTAGAGCAGGAAGGGTATATGTATATAGGCAGGAAGTGGTAGTGGTAGTGGTGGTAGTGGTGGCAGTAGTAGTAGTGGTAATAGTAGTACTTATTTGTGTATCGTTCCAGTCACGGTATTGTGCCTTTTTTTGTTATTCAGTATTATCATAACTAAATCAAGTGTATACAGACACACATACATGAAGCAGAATACAATTTGCATTCCATAATTCATATTCCATGTGGCGAAATTCAATTCATGCTCGATCTGAGGAGGAGGGGCAAAAGCAGCTTCAGTTTTCTGGATAAAAATCCCTTGGAAACCCTGTGTAATAAAAGTACGTACTTCTAAAATCAATGGATGCCAATAATTCCCAATGCCCTGAAAAAATTAAACGCATAAAGTTGCTACTGCTAAAAACGAAAACACTTACTAGGAATGGGTGTCCGGAATTTATCTACATCAATGGACATTAATCTTCGCTTTAACTCATTCCTCCCAACTCCTGGTGGACCAATCAAGACAATTGGCCGAGGAAGACCAGGTCGAGGATACAGACGAGCCACTTCTTCATATGTAGCTACCTCTTCCCGATCAAAATCTTCACTCTCCGAAGCATCATAAATGATCTTCTTAACCTTGGGCGAAGGCTTGCAGCTGGGCGACTTGGGAATAATATTCCCTGCAACTAAAATTCCGTCAATTCTTGTAGGCATGGCGCTAGACTTCCCATGAACACTTGCCTATAAAATTACTATAAAGATCCACCAAAACACTGAGAGTCATTACCCAGAGAGATTAAAGTATCTAGTGCTTGAATTATATATTTTGGTGCATTTAAAAGCAAAATGGCACATAGATCATGTAAAAACCAGGTAAAACTGGTAATTACTGTAGCTACCACACCTTCAAGCATTACAAGTTAAGCAACAGATACTGACGTACATAGTGAATACTTTTTACACTATATATAAGTCAGCTGGGTTACAAATAATATGTAGTAACCCTGAGTTAGCAATATAAAATTAATATGTATAATTAAGACTGATATATGAAAGAAGCAAAATGTACAAGTAAGAAATATACAAAGAGTTAAACTATATAAAAAAAATTATAGACAGTACTGTACTAAAAGTGAAAGGGTGTTCTGGCAAATCAAATAGGCTTCAGTGTCCAATTGGCTAAGGAAAACCAATTCTCAAATTGGTGAGGCATTTTCATTATTCTTAGCAAGCACAGCCAATGATTGATATCTGTTAGGTTAGGGGGGTTCAAAATCAAGTTTGAACCTCTAAATTTTGAGAGGCCAAGTAAATTCTAATGAACTACATAGGTGCAAAATACAATAATTCCTCTCCATCTGACTTCCCTTCATAGTCAAGGAACCTCAGCTTCAAAAAAAAAAAAAAATAAATAAATAAATAAAAAAAAAAATATGCCAACACAAGAGCATTAAAGAGGTGAGTGAGAAAAAACTTGAGCCTACATAAGTTATTATAACCAAGATTTTTCTTACCTCAGAAGGCGCTTTTTCTTCTTAGCAGACTGCCTGGACTGTAAATGATACTTAATATTATGAGACGATAAATGCACTCGAGACCAAAAATTCCAAATTTGGGAAAAAGAGTCAACCAAAATCCGTTGAGCAACAGAAACTGAGGTTCCAAGTTCAATCAAGGGATTATATAAACAGACTAGCTTATACAATGGAAAGCTCAATCGAACCTCAAAATTCGCGTGCTTCACCTATTCCTGGTTTGTACAGAAAAGCTTCTGGTAAATATTCTCCCTTTTTTAGTCTTTTGTTGTACCCCCTTTTTTTTGTGGTGGGAGGGGGGTGACTTGGGACACAACCCTTACACTGAAAACCAACCACTGGATTTTATTCACTATGTATACAGTGAATGACTTTTTTATGCCCAACTCTCCCTTCTTTCTAAACATTTTTCATGAATGCAGATATTAATCAGATTGAAGCAACATACAGAGATATGGCCTCTGACACAAAATAAACCATATTCAGCGCATTCAGCGCAATTCTTATGAATTTCGGGGTTCGACTGTATGAGGTCCTAGTCACAAGTACCTGCTATTTTTCAATAACTAATATTCCAGTCTTATATTTTACTTTTATGAATCAATGAAAATCATCACACTCACTTTGTCCATTAGCTGTCTGCTCTTGTCTGTGTGACAAGATCCGTCTCTCTTGGAGTTGCCGAGAAGGAATCAAACCAGCACGCATGTTGCGATCGCCTTCCCTTCGAGCTTGCCACCTGTAAGTAATGTAGTAATAATAACAATGACTATTTTAAGGCACCAACAATTATCCCAGATCATAAAAAAAACAAAAATTACTAATAAATGTTTTCAAAATTAGACGTTTTGTTTACGCATCGACGATATTGCCCACTTTGAGCCCTATTTTCGGCCAATTCCAGTGTACTAGTCGACAAAAATCATATCTATTTCACTAGAACTCCATTTTTTCTATTGAATGAGTACACAAGAAACCACCCATTTATCGATTTCAACTATCCAATAAAGTACTCAGAAACTGGCAATTTTCCCAATTTCACACAAATTTCAGAAGATGCCAATTTCCAAACAGAGTCCAGAATAAACAAGATAAGACATTCCTGGCACTAAAATAACATTTTCTCTGTTCATTAGTCACGTCCTCAGGCCCCTCTTACATCTCTTTTGCCTTCCACTTTGAGTTTTTATTCTCACAAAAAATAGAAGATTTACTGTTATGCAGACTACTGCATTAGTGTAGAAATGGTGTAGAAATGGTATAAATAATATCAGCGCACTTGTGAAAGAATATTAGCCTCACCAGTTGACGTGTATTGGACGCTTGGCATGATTTGTTTACTTTTGAACTTTGGTAAAAATCGAACATTTCTGCTACTTTGAGCTCAATTTCAAGGTACTTTTCATTATGAAACCAATCAAAATAATCTCAATTTCTGTAATAAGTCTTCCATTCTATAAATTGAGACCAGGAAACCTTAAATACAACCATAAATACCATATGAAAATACACTGCAAATTCGCTGTTTTAAACAAAAAACACGGTCAGTTTTTTTTTTTCTCATTATGCACTGTGTGCTGTAGGATTTTTTAATACTGTGCACACTGACCACATAGACCCATTCTTTCATATGTAGGCCTACCAGCTTTCTCTCACTAGATTTGAAGACGCTAGAATTTAGGCGTACTAGTACGTCAATAACCCTGGTGCGTAAGCCGTACTAGTAGTACGTCGGAAACCCTGAAAGGGTTAAGTTATCCTATGCCAAAAAAAAAAATAAGTAATAACTTTTATTCTGGTCATCATTCTCCAAAAAAGGATGGAGGCAGCCCAAACTACATGACTTCACAGCCTATATTCAAAGGCATTCTGATGACTTGATAAAGTTCTACACAGAAAGAATCACTATCATAAAAGCTTGCTCACCATTCATGTTTTCTTTTCATCACTTCCTACCCTGTTTTCTTTTATTCTTACAAAATATAATACTAAAGTACTAACATCTACAGTACTGGTATAATCCCTCCAATATCCCATTTCTTTTTTAATACACCGGCTGTCTCCCACCAAGGTAGAGCGACCCAGAAATGAAAAAAACGCTTTAACCGTAGCTCACACTACCACTGTTTTGCCAGAGGTACACCAATACTACAGTTTGGATGCCCCTCCAAACTGCAGATATCTCCACCCCTCCTTCAAAGTGCAGGTACTGTACTTCCCACCTCCAGGACTTAAGACCATCACACATCTCTGTCTAAGGCCTACTTTTATTGGAAAATAATCTCCCTCTCTCCTACATACCCTAACCTGAACCCCACTAACCTCAACAACATCTGCCACATTGCTTCCCTATCCACCCTATCATATGCCTTTTATAAATCCATAAAAGCAACACAAACTTCCTTACCTCTATCTAAATATGGTTCATTCATATGCTTCAATGTAAACACATGGTCTACACACCCCCTACCCTTACTAAAGTCTCCTTGTTCATCTGTTATCCTGCTCTCCATCTTAGCCTTAATTCTTTCAATAATTACTCTACGATACACTTTATCTGATATATTCAACAGGCTTGTTCCCCTATAACTTTTTACACTATCTTTTATCCCCCTTCCCATTACACAAAGGAACTATGCATACTCTCTGCCAATCACAGATACCTTCCCCTCTTTCAAATTCAAAGTTTATTCTCTATAAAGATTACAATGTTGAATTTACAGCAACACAGCAATACATTCATTGAACAAAAGTACCAACCACTCCAAAACTACATTCCCACCTGCTTTCGAGATTTCTGCCTTGATCCCATCAATCCCAAAAGGCTTTACCCCCTTTCATTTTATCCACTGCCTCACACACTTTCCCCAAACTCACAGCTGGCTCTTCCTCACTCCTAACAGATGCTCTACCTCTCTGGCCAATGCAGAAATGTGCCTCCCTCTCTTCATCAACATTTAACAGCTTTTCAAAATATTCCCTCCATTTTCCCAATATCCAGTTGCCCATTTCAAATTATATAATCTTTTTCTTCTACCTCACTCCACTGTCCCATGTTTACACAGCACCAATCCGAAATTACACTGGTCTGCATTTGGAATATTTTTAATTTTTATTTTTATTCATTGTTGCAATCTTACATATTCTTGGGCTGCTGATTGTAAATATGTAAACCATTTTACTCTATCACATAAAGATTTGAATAAAATACAAAATAATGATAATAAAAAATGTGAATTTTTAATAAATTGTTAATTTATTAAAATTAGGCAAGTAATCATGGAAAAGCACATTCTGTTAATTTTAAGAACATTTTTTTTTTAACAAGTCGGCCGTCTCCCACCGAGGCAGGGTGACCCAAAAAGAAAGAAAATCCCCAAAAAGAAAATACTTTCATCATCATTCAACACTTTCACCTCACTCACACATAATCACTGTTTTTGCAGAGGTGCTCAGAACACAACAGTTTAGAAACATATATGTATAAAGATACACGGCATATCCCTCCAAACTGCTAATATCCCGAACCCCTCCTTTAGAGTGCAGGCATTGTACTTCCCATTTCCAGGACTCAAGTCCAACTACAGTGGACCCCCGCATAACGATGGCATCACATAGCGATTATTCCGCATACCGCTTACTTTAATCGCAAAATTTTTGCCGCGCATACCGATTAAAAACCCGCTCACCGATTTTCGTCCGAGACGCGTCCAATGTGCGCCCTCAGCCAGCCTCACATGTGCCGCCCGTGCCATTGTTTACCAGCCAGCCTCCGCGGTAACATCCAAGCATACACTCGGAATATTTCGTATTATTACAGTGTTTTCGGTGCTGTTTCTGGAAAATAAGTGACCATGGGCCCCAAGAAAGCTTCTAGTGCCAACCCTGTGGTAAAAAGGGTGAGAATTAGTATGGAAATTAAGAAAGATTTTGAAGGGTTTGGGGCTAACCCTGAGAAGCCTATGCCAGTTGTGGAATCCATTGTGCCTACTTCAAAAATTAAGGAAATGTGTGCACAGTGGGTTGAACTGCAAACCTTTATGGATGAAAATCACCCTGACACAGCTGTTGCAAGCCGTGCTGGTGACTATTTCAATGACAATGTTGTGGCCCATTTTAGACAAATCGTAAAGGAACGGGAGGTACAGAGCTCTATGGACAGATTTGTTGTGCGACAGAGGTCCAGTGACTCTCAAGCTGGTCCTAGTGGCATTAAAAGAAGAAGGGAAGTAACCCCGGAAAAGGACTTGCTACCTCAAGTCCTAATGGAAGGGGATTCCCCTTCTAAACAATAAGTTCGACACTCTCCCCTCCTCCCATCCCATCAATCATCACCAGATCTTCAATAAAAGTAAGTGTCATGTAAGTGTGCATGCCTTTTTCAGTTTGTGTGTATTAAAATTAACATTTCATGTGGTAAAAAAATTTTTTTTTCATACTTTTGGGTGTCTTGCACGGATTAATTTTATTTCCATTATTTCTTATGGGGAAAATTCATTCACATAACGATTATTTCGCATAACAATTACCCCTCTTGCACGGATTAAAATCGTTAACCGGGGGTCCACTGTATATAAAAATAACCAGTTTCCCTGAATCCCTTCACTAAATATTACCCTGCTCACACTCCAACAGATCGTCAGGTCCCAAATACTATTTGTCTCCATTCACTCCCATTGAACACGCTCATGCACGCCTGCTGGAAGTCCAAGCCCCTCGCCCCCAAAACCTCCCTTAACCCTTCCTTCCAACTTTTTCGAGGACGACCCCTACCCCGCCTTCCTTCCCCTACAGATTTATACGCTCTCCATGTCATTCAACTTTGATCCATTCTCTCTAAATGACCAAACCACCTCAACAACCCCTCTTCAGCCCTCTGACTAATACTTTTATTAACCCCACACCTTCTCTTAATTTCCACACTCTGAATTTTCTGCATAATATTCACATCACACAGGACATCTCCACTGCCTCCAACTGCCTCCTCACTGCTGCATTCACAACCCAAGCTTCACACCCATATAAGAGTGTTGGTACTACTATACTTTCATACATTCCCTTCTTTGCCTCCATAAATAACGTTTTTGTCTCCACATATACCTCAACGCACTACTCACCTTTTTTCCCTCATCAATTCTACGATTAACCTCATCCTTCATAAATCCATCCGCCGACATGTCAACTCCCAAGTATCTGAAAACATTCACTTCTGTAAACAGCCTGTACTGTCTGCACAGACAGCCCATGCTGTCTGCCAGCTTAGTTCATATTTCGCGGCACTAAGGTGCTGCCCTCTGGGCCTGTCCAGGTCTGTGGGAAGCTGGTCCCACACTCTCTCACTCTCACAGCAGCCTGGCAGCAAGACACAAGGCCTACTCCTAGCTCCTCTCGTAGGATGGCCCTGCCCGGGCCATGGGCACAACACACAAGCCTGTGTACCCACCACGACTTAAACAATAAAGTAAGAAGCCTCCGAAGAAGTTTATCATTTACTCCCCGCTACCAGAACGCCAAACAAACGCATTATAAATGGTGGGAAGCGGTGGTCGCAGCAGTGTGTTTGCCCGGAGAGAGGAAGGAAGGAATGAAGTTGTTCACTTCATCCCCCTACACAACAAGCATCCGTCTCTCAACGAGTTATCCTGATGTCGTGTCTGCATGTCTGAGCATCCAGACACAGGTACAAGCAGGATCCAGCCGAAATTTGCCGAATTTCTCCGAGAATTGTAAGTGGCATCC